ACGGCGATAATTAAACTCGCTCTCTATACAATTTTTTTTTTTCTTTTCTTTCTTTCTTTCTTTCTTTTAAATTAAGAAATAAATAATCGCCGGCGCGAGCTTGGCCAGCCAACGAGAGTGTTACACTTAAGAAACTGTACAGAATATTACAAAGGAAATGGTACAAACGTTGGTCAAGTGACACGAAACGAGGCTGGAAATGATTCCACGATGCGCGTTAAGATGTCTCGAAAGTTGTTCTTTAAACAAGAAGATTTTGTTGATAAATATGATGAATTTGAGAATTTGAATGTACAAGCTGATTTATTTTTCATTAGAATATTTCATTTTTCTTGCGTTTTTTCTTTAAATAATTCTTTCTTATACAATAAGAAAGATAAATTAAATTATTTTGGAATTATACGAAAAATGAGAAAAATATGAACCAGATAACTTGATGATTTTACATTGAAATCATTTTGAAAGGTATTGAAAAATACATATAGAAATTTGTATAATAGGAAAACAAAATGGATTTTTGAGACAACGTGATGGAATTTTACATGTGTATAATTATATATATAATAAAGCCTCGATAAGTGAGAATCGACCAACGTTTATACGATCTCCGTTAAAAAACGCATCTATTCGTATAAATCTAATTAGTAACAGAATATACAGTCTCTGGCGCGAACCAAGCAATTATCCGTGACTTTATCGTTTTTTGAGAAAGCTAGAAAAGCTGGTGCTTGAAATATTCTCTAGAAATTTTGTCATTGCTAGGATTGCATGCTTGGTTCGTGGCCTAAATAAACAGCCAACAATATAAATTCTTTCGAGTCCAGAAGCTTGAAAATAATTTTAATGTCAGGCAGGAGCCTCGTTTCCTCGCGGATATCTTTCGTTCGAGATCGTTAACTTTTAAAGTGGGATCAAGTACCGAACATTTCCGATTTCTATCGCTCTTGTCGAAGTCGCTAGTTCGAAATTGCTCGCACAAATGGACCAGGAAACTTGCGCCATATTCTTGGTTCAATAGGATAGAAACTATATAACGTACGTTTCATCTGATAATTAACAAATAATATTTTATCAAGATGCTTGAAATTTGTTAAGATTTTCGAATAGACGAAACAATCAAATACTTAAATGTTTATAACCGAGAAATCGAGAAAAATGTACAAAATTAAATAACTTTCCAATAAGTTGATTCATGGAGACAAATGTTATATCTCAAACAAAAGATAGGATATGGAAAAGGAAGATGCTACGAGTGACTTTGTAAAATTTTGATTCACGATTCGTCGCATCGTTTCCTTTATCCGATCTTGTCAAAGGAGCCCATCCGTTTTGACACTGGGAACAAACGTCGACCGTGTTAACGTTACGACGGAAAATGCAATTCTTTCCAGCTTTTTTGACCTTCTTTGATCGTATCGGTCTGGAAACTAAATACGATCGACGAAACGAAATGCTACGCGACTAACCGGACGAAAATCGGAAAATCAATTCTGATTGCGAATCGATTATTGTATTGCGAACGAATGAAAGTTTTCGTGTACGCCGTCGATACGAATACCCTTTTTCGTCCAGCTACAGGTCCATCTCTGTAGTTTGCCATATATATATACACGGTCGCGAAAGAAATTAGACTTAGTAGCTAATAAAATCGTGAAACGAATCGAAGGGTATTCGAAGTATATATAATCCGGCTATAAATCGGATAAGAAAAGAATAACGAGCATTCAAACTCGAAAGATATCCAAAGGAGGGAGTGGTCCTGCGCAAGCACGCGATATACATAGTAACAATACACGGTGCACGAGCAGAGATCGCGAGAAAGGGAGGTCGATCTTTGATTGAGGACATCGTAGATCCTAAGAAACTCTTCGAAGAAAGAGCTTCGTTCGAGGGAAAATATATATATATATATATATATTTGGCAATCATCATCTATATCAACTTCTTCGTCGTGATTATTACACGCGATCACGACTCGAGGCCACATCAAAAAATATTTCTCTTCTCCCGCGCTATCTCGTCCATTATTATTTATTTCCATCCTTATTTATTCACAGAACGTGTTTTACAAAAGGAAGGAAGAAAAAAAAAAAAAAAAAAGAAAAATTACATCACTATCAATTCAACGACATCCGATCGTGTCATCAAATGCATAGAATGAAACTCTAGGAAGGAGAGGAGGCGGAGGGAGAAACCCTATATCGTATATAAATCATCTACCTTGTCCTCACTCAACGATCTCTGGTTGACGAACGAGCCACGTGATAATAGTTGTTGGATCCACGTGAGAGGGTACACACCGGTACATACGTACTTACATATGAATCCACCTCCCCGATCCTCAGCTTGATCAACAAGAAGATAAAACGGCCGTCCTAGATAAACGAAATCGATCGGTTTTCATTCGATCGGCGCGCAAGACGACCAGCCAGTGTTCACCTGAACGCGGCGGTGACGATGATCGCCAAGGTGGCGAGAGTAACGATCGTAGGTATCGACCTGGTCGAGGAACTTCCGCCCGTTGGCCCGTCACTGCTTCGTGACACTTTGCTGCGCACCAATTGTCCACGTTCGACCGCGTTCGTCTCGTCACTGTCCGGGTCCACGGGTGCACCGATGTCCTCGTCCTCGCTCAGCATTAACGACAACTTGTTCCTGAGAGGTTTCTTCGAGCACGGGAGGGCCACCTCCTCGTACGGCCTCAGGATCCTTGGATAATGGACTTCCAGGCTGTCCATGCCTGCCAGTTCCCCCTTGTTCGTCCAGCAAAGGGGTTTAAAGGTGCCGCCCCGGGTAGCTTCCTGAAAGCTCTGGAAACTGCTCTCCCAGTCGTAGCTGAGCAAACGTTCCTCCAACGTCATGCCGGCCAACTTTTGCGGTTCTTGAATCTTTACCGGGCTGGAACCCCTGTAACGAGAAGAGGAAGGATGCTGCCTTGAAGGATCTCGTTCGACCTATATATATATATATATATATATATAT